GGCTCTGCCATGACATCCAGCTGTCCCTTAAGAGATGAGTTTACATCAACGTGATTCGCAGTGTTCTACTCTAGGGTTGCCAGGCCTGGCTCCTACTCGTTAAGGATGCTAATCGACCACCGATTTCTCCAAAGCATTGCCCATGTCTGATGAGAAAATAGGACGAGCAGTGACGAGGTTCATCGTCTTGTGTTGGGTGCGGATGGTCGTTCTACTCCGTCGGCAATGGCTTGACCACGTTTGGCTTAAGCCTATCGATCGTCTATCTTTCCATGCTCTCTGCGCGCGTGCTTGTCAAGGCTGTAAGAGACTTCGTGCCGGTCAGATCATGACATGATGTAGTGGTAGCTTCGGTTGGTGCAGCCCGCCTCCCAAAATGAAACCCAATGGATGAGATTGCCGTTGGTTCGAGGTGATGAGAGATATGGCTCAGAGTAGCAGTCGGTTGCACGAATACCGTGCGATTTGCAATGAAATCACGCGTCCTATAACGATAAACTAGTGTAATATGCAGGACCGACCCCGGTTCTGAATCCACTCGAAATCTACTGGGAGGTTGATTCCGGGTAACGCATTCCGAATTCTCATACAACTATCATCGTCCCAAAAAGGACCACACAATCCCTGGCCACTTACCGACGCTCTCAATACACAAGTAGGTACACTTCTCGCAGTAGGTTCCAAACAACCTGCAAGACAGGTAAAATACAAAAAGCAACCGTAAACCAAAAGGTCTAGTGAGACATGCACACGACTCACAATCAAACAAAAATGGCTGCACTCGTGTCCTCACCACAGTAGCACACACACACAACACATTTAAAATGATACGATGAAACAAACGAACAAAACGCCATAGGTATTCTTGTTCGCTTGATCCACTGTAATTGTTTTCTTCCAATTTCGTTCTCTTCTGTATCCCAATCCCACCATTTTATGTCATTATTGTTGTTGCGTTGGCACCATGCTTGTTCAGAAACCAGTTATATATCTGCCAGGGACGACGAAGAAGTATTTCTGTTCTATCGGATTTCTGTTTGAGTTAACTCTGATTTTGATCTTCTGGGTGGATCACTTTGTCTTGGAAGGCTAGATCTATACTTCCGAAGACTGGTCCATTCCGCTTGTTACCATTTATTTCCTTCGATCTAATGTGGTCATATGCACTCGTCGACTTCACCATCTAATTTGTTTTCTTGAGCGTTTGGCTAAATATTTTAAAGGGCTAAATGAAAAAAATCATTTTTGTCTCCATTTTACTAGTTGCGTGTCGACATGGAATTATATCGGTCGCCCATCCATGCATGTACCATTGTGCCCAACTGTCTCACTTTGGATATTGACAGTGGTTCTCATTTATGTTCGAAATATAAATTTATATGACTAGAGTGAACAAATGAAATATCATTCTGACCTATTCTCATCAAGGTTTGCATTCTGTAGCTATTTATTAGACGATAAACTAAAAACGGTTAACACTCCCGTTTGGGTGTATTCCTTACCCAAAGAAACTGACAAACCGAGTTTGAAGCCGAGCGAAGCGATAGAGACGATAAAATGTGATCCTTAGGGTGTACGTTAAGCAAATAGAGCTTAAGATCGCTTAAATCTGCTGAATCACCTAGTTTATTTGCTTACCCCATTATGTCCTTAAGTGCTTGAGTTTTTTTCTTGTGTGTGCTGTGCCTTGGTAGTTTTGAAGGTGTCAAGTGCAATCGACTTTTTGACGTCCATCTCCATTTCTTGCCTTTTTTCACCCGTTGATACCATACAGGTTTACTTCAAGAAGCGATTGGATCGGTTTTTCGAACAGAATCCAAATCAACCGCTTGTTCGAAACAATGCATCGCCCGTTTTGACCCACGCATACGAGAAAGCTCTGCAGCCGTCTAATATGATCCAGTTATTCGAGCGTCTTGGAATTTGTCCTTTCAATAACTTGTCCAATGCAATTGGCGCGTACATGAATATGGTAGGTCGCTTGACAGCGAAATTATATTTGCTTTTATCGTTCCATGCTATGATCAGTTTAATCTAATTTGACCATGTTACATGCAACCTCTGTAATATTTGGGGTATTCGATTGCACGTGACAGATCGCTTCTTACTGACTTTGCCTGTTCTGACTGTACCAGAGTTCTGGAGATTACGTTCACAAGTGCTTGCTTGATTACGATTAGCTTCTAGGCTCCAGAACGAGTTGGATGTTTTGCCTAACACGCTCTAACGTTTAGTGTAATGGAGTCAGAGTCTTATTCACTTTTGAGAAAGCAATTTAAAAGTGATCAACCAACCACATACAGTTGTTTTCGGCATCTGACTGAGTTGGTCACTATTTCAAAATACGGTCCTCATTGATAAGGTGACAGTGCTTCGACAGCATTTATCTTAGTTCATCGAATCTTTGTCATTTGAAGGTTGCACATGGCTCTGGCGCTCGAGTGATATCAAACATCGGACGAATCTGTCCGGGCAACAACACGTGCAATATGTACTTCATCTACACTAACCCATAAAATTTTTCATCATCTCAGCCGGATTCTTTTAGAGTATCTCGTTTCCAACTCTGAGTCGTTCGCTTCACAATATTGTCCCTCATGCACCGTAATCTAGTACTTGGCTTTGTGGCAGGGTATCTAACTACTGTTTCACCCACGTTCAGTCTTGCCGGATCAGTTACTTATACTGTCCATAATATCTCACCCACTTTCTTACGTATACCTCACTCACCGCATGTGTTAGTGGTTACGGCTTAGAGCACACACACACACAACGCCTCGTCAATCTATCTTTGTTCCCGGAATCGCACTGATTGAATAGGAATTACTGAGGGATGATTTATTTGACGTACATGATGCGGATCAGCATTATATATGTGGAAACAAGAACCGACAGATCGCCTTTGTATCTGTGTGATCATTGCTAAACAAGTTAATTAGAAGCGACAAAAGCAATAAACACGTTCTGTGTCACAGAAATACAGTCAGATAATAAGTATCTATCAAATGCTAGTCAAAAAGTAATATAAACTCGGCTACTGTTGCTTTGCCGGAAAAAACCTGTTTTTCGATGTACAAGTCGAAAACCTGACAGATGACCATACACAACAGTTAATGATGGAAATGGAAATAAGAAAATAACTTGATAATTGGCAGTGATCAAAGTGTTTCCTTCACGTAAAAGATGTTGGTTACAAATGTAACTGATATATGAAAGGAATTGTTCCTAAGCTCATCTCTTAGTCCCATTGCACGCCAAGGCATTCGCAGATTCGTCTTCTTGGACGCTCTAGGTTGTTTCAATGGATCATCCTTTACATCAAACCATGCGACAAAGCGCGGAAATGTAGACAACTAATATTTCCCCATTTTGATCGTTTGATCCTTTGTGAGAAGTCACTGAACGCGAAACTAGATGAATTTGTTAATTTTTCGAACATCATCTTAGTAAATGCCATGATACAGATTTCCGGATGCCAACTGACTGATGAGGTCATTATAATATGGTCAATTCTTCATTTGTAAACTGTGAACAGTAGTTTTTTTGTATTCTCCGTTATAGTGTGTGTTTGCCGCCTGTTTGTTACTTCCTAACAGTTCATTGCTTAGTATTATAACGTTAGAGCAGCGAAAACAGCGTTGTTGAAATTGAGTACTGAAAGCGAAAGTCGATTTCTAATATGTCGGAGAAATTTACTTGATAAATTTCTACTTCCTTCGGTTTTGGTCGATTAGCTTCAAACCTCCACCGCCGTATGCTGGACTTTGTGAGATGGTTTCTTATTATTATTCGCATCTGTTGAATGCTACTTGTCAGTAGGCAAAAAAGAAACCCGAAAAGTTCTGCCTGTTAATGATCGGAATCGTTCGCATTCTACATCTGCATTTCGCTTGTTTGAACTCTGAACGCAAATTTCGATTGCTGCTAACCTGTCCGGCCATGTTAACCTATGTTCTCTTTGGTTATGTAGTCTCTCTTAAACTTCTCCATTAGATTATCAGATCTTGCTGGTTTGAAAACCAGAAGCATTCTCTTGTACTGTATTGTCATCACTTGTGCGGGCAGTTGTTTTTCGTCAGTCGATCTTACTTCCTAACGCGATCCAATTTCCTTGAAGTTCATTATTTGCCCTTAAGTATCTGTTTTTCGTGTATTTTTCGTATAGCTATCCGTTGACTTCGTCTTTATATGTGTATCAGTAGTATTATTATTGTTATATTTCTCGTATGTCTGAGTTAAAACCTTGTGTCAAAATATCACAGTATAACATTTTCTTGGTAAGTTTATCCACGATTTGCTCGCGGGTGAAAAACTGTCAGGTTATCTATGCCAAGCAGATGAACTTGCTTTGGGAATTTCAACTAGAATCTTTGGCCAAAGTCTGACTACATCAGCGGAGCGATGTGTGTGGTTACCACAAATCAGCTGAACACCATACTCGTTCGCATATACATATATATATATATATATTGTATTTCCGGTAAAATTGTTTGGACAGCTCTTTCAGTTCATTGAAGAATCAATACAATGTTTTGGTGATTCGTAGATGGGTTAGATGCTGCTGACCGCAAAAAACGCCACCTAAGCGTCTGCTGACTATTTTACAATAAGTAATATATTGTGCCAAAAATACATTTCCTGGGTACAATTATATGAATAAAGAGACAAAAGACTATCGGATACGCACGCCTGACTAGCGACAAGAACCGCGTAACCGGTCGTGTGCGTCCAAGGAAATTCTATCCAGTGCTTCATATACTAATTTTTGTACCCGTTTAAATTCCAGCCTCATTCTTTTACCTTTCGTTTTAAATGGTTTACTTACTACGCGAATACTGTTCTAAGTATTTAAATCGAGTTTTTAACACAAGTTACAAAAATCTGCCCGAGCCAATCTTTCATACAACATTTCCGTGATTGAATTAAACTTCTCTTAACATTGTGTTCAACTGTACGCTTCTTTTCAAATCAGACGGAAGAGTACGATCAAACGAATGCAGTGGGTGAACATGCTGAACAACATTTGCCCTATGATAACTTTTCCGGTCAAACCCAATGGTCCAAAATTCACCAAATGAGTGCATTCAACAACTTCGTGCCAAATTCACTGACGAATGGTGAAACTAAATTGCATCCGGGCCTTTCCGTTCAAGGACCTAATCAATCAACAGCAGTGGTTGGACCGTCCTCGACAGAATCCGGTCCAGGTAAGTACTTCTTTGGAGCACACAGTGATAATCGGTAGCAGATTTAGTGATTCCCAAAACCTTGAGGCTCTGACAGTCTTTTTTGTTTTAACGGATAATCTGAGTCGTATGACAGAGACAGACAAACAACTTTGTATATCAAAAGAATTATTAGATTCGTTGCAAAATTGAAGATATTGACCTATTTTGACTTCGTATGTTCGCCATCGCATCTCTTACCATGAAGGCTTTTGATTACAATAGAATAGAATTATTTAGCTCTAATAAATCAAGCTTAGCTCATCTGTGAACTAACCTCACTACTGGTTCCACCACCCCTTGCTTTCAGTGTATCCTTTAAACTGATATAAAAGTCGCCAGTATTCGTGTTACAGGTATACCGTAAGTTATCATTACTTTGTCAGACAAACTCTCCGTTGATTTTCATTTCTTCACCAGATCGCATACCTGTAGTACCACTGGTGTCAAAATCTGTTATTCATCCAACGACTGCTGTACTGGATAATTCTCCTAAATCGTTGCCAGCCGTATTGGCCCACGTTCCTACGGTAACTCGACCGATCACCATCCGGCTTCATGTTCCTGCACTACGTACCGGTCAAGTTCTGATTTGCACACCAAGCGAACCAGGCGTAGGAACTCATCCGACCCAAGCTACGACTGTCGCCACAAGCGGGATGAGTGTACTTACGCCAAAGGTCGAACCGAACGTGTGTGTACCTACCATGCCTTCAAACACTTCTGCTACTTCGAGCCAGACACTCTCGGTAGGTAAAGCATCGATTTCAGAGTTTTCTCTACCTTTTAGCAACATATATTCTCAACATCATTTGCATGCAGAATACTTTGTTTGGTGAAAAAATTAGTTAGTCAAAAGGTTGGAGTTTCATTCAAATCAGTCAGTACACTTTTCTCTTAATTTTGTGTAAGCGCAGTTTAGACACACTTGGAATTTCTTTCTTCCTTGAACTATCATGCCAAAGTGGTTATTTCTTCTCGATCAGAAACGGAATTGGTGGTTCATACTACCTAACTATCAATCTTCCGGGCTCTCAAACTAGACCCTACTTTGAATATCCCTCTTGCTGAGACCAAATCGCCTCGGAGTTAAGAAATGACTGGCAGTTGAATACTAGGTTATTTTAGTGAGCGGAAAGTGGCTCTTGTCCTCCTGGATGAGTTACAAAGATCCTTGTAACCAGCTTTTACATAAGGAATATTGGAAAACGGGGCAGCAAAACAACAGCATTGACTCATTGTCTCACCAAATCGAACTACTAAGGGAGGCTTTTGTGCACAACTTTGCTGTGTGCACTGTGTTGAACATTTTTGTTCATTTTTCCATCCCTCAAGCAAACCTAATCTTTATCCACATTAAACACATTGTATCTCGTTTTACAATGATAATCATACGTACTGTCAGACGGTTTTTCGTCCCTACATTTAAACGATTACGTCGGAAGAAAGAACAAGCTTTCAAAGCGAAAAGTACTCTTTGGTGAGAGGCAATCAAGGCGGAACTGTGGAGACTAAACGTCGCTTATGTACATTCACTGCTGATAAACAGGAATTGTCGCCATACATGGAAAATGTCGTTTCAGTTCTGCAGTCTCAAAACGAAGGAGAATCTTCCAGCTGCCAATGTGGACGATCTCCCTCGTCAATTCAGCATTACTGAAACCGAAATCCCTATTCCATTCACAACAGTCATCCCTGCTCCTAATGCTGTTAATTTAATTACTGATCAAACAGAAGTATTCAGAACTTTCACCAATCTGAAGTGCGACAAAGCATGCGGTCCTGATGGACGGCCACCTGTTGTGCTCAAAGAATTTGCAGTTTCCCTTACCCCTGTTTTCACTGACCTACTCAACCTGTGTTTTACTCAGCATTGCATTCCGAACTGCTGGAGAGTGGCTTCTACCACGCCAGCACGCAAAAAGAGGCCGTCCAAATTTCGCCCGATTGCTTACACTTCTGTTGGTTTGATAGTCTTAGAAAAGATTTTACAACCGAAGATGTCCCAGCTGAATGCACCGGATCCAAATCATTTTGCCTGTTGCAGTTCCAGGTCAACCATTGATGCGTTGGCGTCCCTTATTCATTATGTTTCTTCTTCCTTGGACAGGAAATGTAAAGCTGTTCGTGTATGTTTCTTTGAATATAGTGATGCCTTTAATTGCGTTCATAGGTTCAAACTTTTTCACACTCTCTGAAAAAGGCATTCATCCGGAGCTCACCAATCTGTTAGGTAATTATTTCACCCATTGATTGCAGTTCATTAAATCCAAGGGTCGTAGCTCTTCCCTTTTACCCTGCACTCAAGGAGTTCTTCAAGGAGCTATTTTCTCTCCCTTCTTGTTCGTAACCTATATTTGTTCTTTGACTGCTTCTGATGATTGTTTGCTCATTAAGTATGCCGTTGATGTTGTCCATGGCATGAAGTTTCCGAATTCCTCCGTGTACCTCAAACTTATGCAAAATATATCACTGCTCACCGACTGGTCTTCTCAATACCATCTTAGAATGACTCCTTCCAAATGTAACGATGTCTTATTTTCTTTGCTGAAGGGTGACCAATACACTGATGTGATGAACTCTTATCAGTATGTCATTATCAATGGTGAACAAGTTTCCGTCAAATATCTTGGAGTCACCATTTCCCGCAATCTTTCTTGGTTTCCTCATGTCGTAGACACATTTCACAAAGTCAGAAAACTCACCTTTTACGTTATTCGTTTGAAAATGCTATCTAACCCAACTCACTTAATAAAGCATTTTGTTTTCTCTTGTATCCTTCCCCATTGGCTTTATGCATCCCCAGTTATTTTTCCGGGTGTTTTAATTAAAGACTTGAAACTCATACGTACATCCATCAAACATGTATATCGATACAGCGGCTTATCTTGTGAGAGTGTTGCACAGTTTATTATTTCACAGCACCTAAGGGCCTGCCAGAAGCTTTCTACCAGAATACTACTTGACCCATCTCACCCACTGTACCCCCACCTTAGTCAATGTATCTCTATAGCACTCGCTCCAAGTATAAGCATATAGCAGCACGCACCACAACATACAAGCCTTCTGTAATACCGTACTGGGCACGGTTTTGTACTAATTCCGACCTTGTCATTGGGACCCTTAAACAAAATCTGTGCTAAATTTCCCTTATTTGTTTGTATATGTAAGGTGTCACATCCCTTTTCTTACCATACAATTTCCACAGAACAGTGATTGTGTAGTAGCTGAATGTTCACCCCTTACGGGGCGAATTAAAGCCGCTTCTTGACCCGACTTGTTTTTTTAATTCACCAGGATACGGTAAGTCATCCCGATGTGGACGTTGCGCATGAAGAGGAGGTTGGTTTTGAAGGTCCTCATTCTCAAGGCATACCAGCCACACCGCGCACAATGAGCGGGGAACAGTATGGGTTCACTGGGGATCAAGGCTGGGCAGACACTGGGGCGGCCGTAGAATGCATAGACGAAATCGAAGACGGCGAAGCACCTGACTTTTGTGTGGTCTGTGGTCAGCTTGAACCCCCCGAATCTGCATGTCGACCGATGTCAGACGGGGAGAATGCGGATGATTTGCAGGCGAGTTCATTTTCATTTTGTATTTATGAATTATTCAGTTTAGCTTATTGATTCTCCAGTGTGCCAATCATTATTTATCTTTATCACCGGTTTGCAGTTGTCTAAGTGGTGATACTGTACTAGGAAATTCCTAAAAATAGTTAGGATGAAATATATATAGCAGAGAAACAGTAGAGAGACAGAGATTTGGCGGACTTTGGGATTGTGCTCATTGATGCACATTCTACGGGAGATTTTTCGTTTTTGGGCAACCAAATACGACCACATACCACTGATGAAGGGCTTTAGGAGTCACGGTAAGGGGGAATGTGGGATGTTCTACAAACTATACCAGAGCACCATCCATGGCTCTGAAGCAAGCTAGAATACTTATACGTGCCTTGACAGTTCGGAATAGTACTGTTCTCACGCGTTCTTCCACGGTTCATTCGACCACACACGGAACACATACTTTAAGTATGAAATCCGGAATTGAACCATGGCCAGAAGGATGTAGAAGGTTATTATTATTATTATTATTATTATTATTATTATATTATATTTCACACATGTCTGAGGACAGACAAATCATGATACAATAATCTTTATGAAAAAATGTTCCATGATTGACTTGTGGGCTGAATATTGCCAGGTTGCCGAGACCAAGGCAGGTGAATTTTCTTGGGGAATCCACAACCGGATCCTTTGGCTAACCAAAGCCGGACCCGCAAGACAGCGGGGCGGTGTGTGAAAACCGCAATCTATTGGGAGCCAAGGTCCGGTTCATCGGATCATACGCTCTTCGGACGGGGTTAGACGTCCAAGGTGCCCAATCGAGCGGGTGACCACTGCCACAACCGAAAAGGTGTGGGTGTGGTTCGTACGTCCCCTCTTGCTTGGTTTGGAATCAGGGTTTTTCACCAACCCCCCCCCCCCTAGGTGAACTGCCAGTGGTCCACCAACCCGGTTATCGGCTCCTCTCACTTTGGTGGGAAAACACCTCCGCCACGAGAAGGCAGTGAGTGGGGCTTCCT